TTTTTGCTGAGGCCCTCAAGGGCAGGTGAGGCTGCTCAACTGTTTGCACCAATGTAACCTGAGACCCAGTAGGGGGGTGCGACCAGGTGACACCTTTTGCCCTGGAAGCAAGACAAAGAGAAGGAGGAGGGGCAACAGGGGGGTGTTGGAGGTCGGGTCACTGGAAGCTGGCAGTCTGCCTGGGGGGACTGGAAGAGGGGAAGTCCAGGGTGTCTGGCCCAGGACTCCAAAGATGGACTTGGCTGAAAGTGGCTGATTTCTATGCTAACAAGTTCTGTCCTACGCTGTGTTTCTGTCGACTAATATACCTTCTGTTTTACCAGCTGGCTGAGAGTCACGCCTGACTGTGGAGTTGGGGTGCAGGACCCTCTGGCTTCCCGAGGAGCTCCGCCTGGGTGAACTCGCTGCGGGAAGCGCACAGTGTGGAAAGGGAAGCTGAATGCTCCGAGGTCAGACCCAGGAAAGTTGAAGCTGTGTAAGCTTCTTGCCCTGGAGACAGTATGCTCAGAGAGAGGAGGCATGCTCCCCCAGAGCCTGGCTGGCTTCATATGGAATAGTTCCAGAGCATCACCCCGGTGACTCCATGACACGCAGTCAGACATGACTCTCAGCCAGCCGGTAAAACAGAAGGTTTATTAGTCAACAGGAACACAGCGCAGGACAGAACTTTTGAACACAGAAATCAGTGACTTTCAGCCAAGTCCATCTTGGGGGGAGGGGAGCCCAGAGCCAGGGCTCTGGTCCTCCCTCTGAGCCCCAAGCCAGCTGCGACTGACTCACTTCCAGTTGCCTGGTCCCTGCCCTGCCCATTGCTCCTCACCTTTGTCTCGCTTCCCGGGCCAAGAGTCACCTGGTCGTATCCCCTTCCTGGGTCTCAGGTTACGAAGGAGCGGCTATAGCATCAGTGCAGGCAGCTGGAGCAGCCCTGGAAAAGTCACACACCCTTATTCCCGCCACCTAGACATTGGTGCAATACACAGGGAAACTGAGGCACACACAGCACTCATGCAAAACAGTAAGACTCACATACAACATAACAAGGGGAATTCCCCACTACGTCACATCTCTCCCTCCTTCGAGATCTAACTGAGCGGGGTCACTTTAGCCAGTGACCTGGGGAAGTTCAGCTCTCCCTCTCCGGCACAAAGCATCAGCTATAACTTTTTCACTCCCTGTAATGTGGACCACCTCCATCTCATAATCGTGGGAGGGCAGACTCTACAATTCCCACGTTGCACGTCCCAGCTTTTACAGTCAGCCCTGAATCCTTAAGGCTGAAAGGTAGGACTAGGAACTTGTACAGCCCAAAGAGGTGACAAAAGCAGGTTTCAACCTGGCATCTGGATCGAATGGCACCTGCCAGTAGCCTTTGGTGAGATCCCTGGCCATGGGGTACTGAGTCCCCCACCAGCTTGTCTAGGATCTCATCAGGCCTAGGTATGGGCAGGCACCAGACATGGTGATGGCATTGAGAATTGGATCGACCCATCTTTCCTGGAGACCGCCACCACGGGAGAGGCCCCAAGGGCTGGTGGATGGCTGGATCACCCCCTAAAGTCAGCATGTCTCTGACTTCTCCCACCAGGTCCTGGGCTGTTTTCCCAGTGACCCGGACCTCCTACAGGAGGATGGGCTCCTGTCTCCACCTGGTGGACAGCTAAGTTAGTGAGGCCAGGATGGTTGGAAAACAGTTGTTGGTACGAATCATAGAATCATAGAAGATTAGGGTTGGAAGAGTCCAACCCCATGCTCAAAACAGGACCAACACCAACTAAATCATCCCAGCCAGGGCTTTGTCAAGTGGGGCCTTAAAAACCTCTAAGGATGGAGATTCCACCACCTCCCTAGGTAACCCATTCCAGTGCTTCACCACCCTCCTAGTGAAATAGTGTTTCCTAATATCCAACCTAGACCTCCCCCACTACAACTTGACACCATTGCTCCTTGTCCTGTCATCTGCCACCCTTAGAACAGCCGAGCTCCATCCTCTTTGGAACCCCCCCTTCAGGTAGTTGAAGGCTGCTATCAAATCCCCCCTCACTCTTCTCTTCTGCAGACTAAACAAGCCCCAGTTCCCTCAGCCTCTCCTCATAAGTCATGTGCCCCAGCACCCTGATAATTTTGTTGCCCTCCGCTGGACTCTCTCAATTTGCCACATCCTTTCTGTAGTGGGGGGTCCAATACTGGATGTAATAGTCCTCTACCAGTGCCGAATAG